GCAACTTCAAGGGGCTGCTGTGACTCTCAGCGCACTGTCACTCCACCCGTGTCCTACGTCTCCCCACCACCTCAGGGCCACCACTCTGGGCAAGGGGTGCTGCCATCGCTGAGATCCCGGCCTCCAAGGCAGCCTCTGTGTAATGTGCCACACTCTCGTCGGGACTGAAGGCTCCGAACTGCGCCCGATGGCACAGTCACCCGCGTGGCTACTTACCACAGAAGGAGGGCTCTGAGCGTGGGGGTGGGGACTCCGCGGCGGTCCGGCTCAAGTCGTCATCACTGGGGATGTCCTCGTCTGAGGGAACACCAGACACGAGTCCGTGCCTTGCCACAGTCTCTGGACACTGGCCAATTCCCGGCCCTGCTCCCTATCCAACTGGCACGGGAAGCCAGAGCCGTCTGACCGTCAGCTGACCCTGCCAACAGCGTCTGCTGGTCTTGCATCTCGGAGACTGGCCAGAGAGCTTGTGGCGGCCTCTCCTAGCTCACACCCAAATGAGGACGCCCACTGCCCCATTCTCTTCTACAAGAGGAAGATGCCCACATGGGTCAGGGGGCAGGGGCGGCCCACAGGGGTTCCCCCTTGCTAACGGGCCCCCTCGCCCACCTCAGGCCAGTCCTTCCCCACCGGGGCCGGCTCTGCTCCCAGGGGACACTGGGCCACGCCTGCAGGTGGGCTGGACTGTCACAACCACACAGGGGGGAGGACGTGGATCAACGCCCTACGGTGCAGACTGGCCCCCAGGGCGAGGCGTGCAGGCGGAGAAGCCGGCGAGGCTCACCTTCCTGTTCGGATGTCTCCTGGTAGCTCTCCAAGAGCGTGACAAGCTTCTCACAGCTGCCGGGCTCTCGGGCCCGCACCCAGGGCTTGACCCTCTCGGGAAGGATGCTCAGGTACTGCTCCAGCACCAGGAGCTCCACGATCTCCTCCTTGGAGCGCGTCTGCGGCTGCAGCCAGTCGCGGCAAAGGTTCCGCAGCTGGACCAGGGTCTTCCGAGGCCCGACAAACCCCACGTACAGGAGATTCCGAAACCTCTGACGAGAGAATGCAGAGTCAGGGGCGCCTCCTCCCACGGCAGCATGCGGTTCCTCAGTCCAGGCGCGGGACAGCTCCCAGAGACCCGGCGCCCGGAACTTCTCAGAGTCGGCAGCAGACAGGAGTCTGGGAGGCAGCATGGCTCCAAGGGAAGCTGTCACTGCGGGAAGCAGACATGAGTCAACGGAG